TGGCTACATTGTGGTTACAACTGTATAGCCACATGATTGTATATGTTCTATCAGGAGAAAGAATGTGTCTGTCGAGAGAGTGTAGGGTTATGGTCACAGTGAAAGAAGAGAAGCAAGCCGCATTCCTCCTGGGGCTGCCAGGAGGAGCCAGATGCCTGGTCCTTGAGTTGGAGAATTTGGGTTATGGGCATGTGGGGGTGGGTCTAGTAGGCTATCCCAGCGTGACAGCGTAAGCTGCGCATCATTTGTGGTCTTTCTCAGATCCTCTGCTTATTGAGCAAGTGACTAATCTGGGATAACTGTACTGTCTTTATCAGATGTCTGCTACTTAGGTGGTTAAGTATTTGCAACATCTTGATCTTGACAATAAGGCAGTGAAGCAAGCATTTGGCAGATGAGGAAATTGAGTCTCAGAAAGACATCTTCCCTGATGTCTCACAGTTAATAAGTGGAAATCTGAGAATGGTATTCAGGTCTCTGATTCCAAAGCTCATATGTTATTTTTTAAAATATTTATTTGTTTATGCAGGCAGAACTGGGGTACAGGCCAGAGGTGCGGGGGTTGGGAGGATTCACCAGAGACAGAGTGGGGAGCAGGACAGGCAGATTGATGAAGTCCACTGCTGAGGGGGCAGCGGCGAGGCAGGGGGTCTGCTGCACCCTGTGGGTCACCTCCAGGGCGGGGATTGAACTCATGCTGAAGCGGCAGCGGCTAGCTTTGTAATGTTGCGCTTCAACCTGTTGTGCCACCAGGGAAGGCCCTGCCAGGCCTTTTAAAATTGCAGATAGAGGGCCCTTCTTGGTGGCTCAGCGGGTTAAAGCGCTGCACTAAGAAGCTAAAGTCACTTGCTCATGAGTTCGATTCCCACCTGCCCCGGAGGAGATCCACATGGCGAGGCAGACCTCTCCTGACCCTCCCGCTGCTCCCCTCAGCAGTGTACTTCATCTATCTGCCTGTTCTGCTCCCGGCTCTGTCTCTGGTGAATCCTCTCATCCTCCACATCTCTGGCCTGTACCCCAGATCTATGTGAATAAATAAATAAAATCTTTAAAAAAAATTGCATATAGAAATTGGAACTGCAGCATCTTCAGAATACTGTTTTGGGGTTTGTTGGCTTCCAAGAGAATGGAAGTGAGATAGTTTTATGAGACCAGACACTTGTTCCGAGACCACACTGCTCAAGCATGAAAGGAACAAGCGCGTTTTGTACTTTGATAATTAGGAAATGGCTTACTTGTGGACTCTAAAAACTTCTCTTATAACTATTGTAGTCTTGATGACTGGAGGGCTATTCCACAGCAGACAGGTTTATTTATTTTATCATTAGCTGGTTTTGTCAAGAATAATTCACTGGTGCGTTTGGAGAGAACCAAAGTTTTGTAACCAAAATTGAATGACTAGAATGGTCTGGGGTTTGCAAGTGGAAGGAGCACCAGGTGATGGGAAGAACCATGTGGTGTGCCTGCATTTTGGTCTCTTCCCTGGGAACGTCTCGTTGCTGTGAAGGAGCCACTGTGGCTAAACCTGATTCTAGAACCACGCCTGGGACCCCAAGACAGGAGTTGTCCATTTCTCTTTGCTAGCCAGTGTGATTCTTGCTTCAGAGTCTTTTTAGTTTGTTTTCCCAATGGTGATATCTGCCTTTCGAAATCATTCTATCTCCTCCAGAACTTCAAACAGCATTTTGGGAGGTCAGGTTCGAGGTGGCTGACCTTCAGCCCAGGTCTTTCCCTGCTGTACTTTAGCTCCCTACTCCGCAGCCGTGTCGCAGGTCTTTCGGTCATCCAGTCTACCTGAGGTCTCAGTCTCCACACCCCAGATGAGGCTATGACTTACTTTCTAGCTCATTTAATTCTTTTCTTCCCCTCAATGCATTCACTAACTGTGGCAGATTCACATAGTTTGACTCCAGCTTGTTCAGTCACTCAGTAAATATTTGTTGAACACATGTCTTTCTTAGGCATAAATCAGTGAGTAAAACTGACATGGAACCTGTCATTTGAAACAAAGCTTACTGAGTGAAGATATTCAAAAAACATTAAACATAATGTTATAAAGGGATAGAGAGAGTGCCGTAGAAGAGACTAATAAGCGGAAACCACTTTATATTAGTGACAAGAAGGAGGTTTTTCCAATCTGACTAGAAACCTGAAAGACTGGAAGTGTCTTGCCACGTGAGAAAGTGAGGAGACTAAGGTGTTTCAGTTACAGGAGTAACTTAGAGACTGGCATGAGCAGTGGCTGGGACTTGCGAGGAGGGAGAGGGTAGGCTGCCATGAGCTTGGCAAGGGAAACTGATCTGCAGAACCAGCGCCTGTAAAACTTGTTTAAGAGTTTGTTTCTGTTCTCAGTATTTTTGGGAATAGTTAAAAGGTTTTAAATTGGGAAATGGTAGGGTCTCTGTTATGCTTTTTAAAAAAATTGTCCAGATTTCAATAATGCAGGATGACACTTACCAGGAAGAATCACACTTAGAGCCAGTGCTGACTTGGGTAGTGATGGAACAAAGAATAGACCTGAGAAATGGGCCAGCATTTGATGTTTGGACATGGAAGAAAATAGAGAGGGGCAGGAATAACTCAGGTTTCCACTAGAAGCATACAGGTATGCCCCCTCTCGAGGGGGTGTGTGCTCAACTTGGGAGGAGAGAGAGCCTTGAGGGAACATTCGTCAGGAGTGCACAGGGGTGGTGTGGGGTGGGAGCTGTTGCAATGGAGGAGGACAGAGGGAGCAGAGCAGAAGGCCACCGCTGTGGTCGCCACTCAGTACATCTTGTAGTGGGGTCTTTTTTTTTTCTTTTTGAGCACAGACATTAGAGTAAATTTAAAGTTAGCTTCACATAAACTTCTTCACAGGGGAGAAAGTGACGGGGTTACTGGCTCAGGGAGGGTGACAGTAGGGTAGAAGGAAGGAGTCAGGCATTTGTATGGTCTCCAGGTTCTTTTATCTCTGGAGTAGTTCACAGTATGGTGAGCATCTCTTATCCTTTGTGCATTTAGTTTAGGAAAAGAGATTGAGAGGGTAAAGTTCGTGTAATCCTAATTTTCCACAAACTGTCCCGATTGCTCACCACACCGCCCCCGCCAGTGTCCGTGCAGCCTGTATTCTGTGGTTATGAGCCTCACCAGTGACTTCTTTTAGGTCTGCATCTCAGACCAGCCTTCCCCGATCCCCCAGACAAGCCTGGGGATTTGCTTGCTTATGTCCCCAACATACATTTACTATAGCAATTACTTAGAATTTACTGTTTCTTGCATTGACTATCTGCTCACCAAACTGGGCTTCAGAGAAGATTTTTCCTTGACAGCTGTCTTTTTTTTTTTTTCCCATGTGTCTCTTTTTGAAAAAGCTTTTGAATGTTCAAGTTAGGATTCTGACTGTGTTTATTTGAGTAGCTAAATACAACGTACATTTTTTTCCTGATAAACAATGTCTAGACAGTACATATTTAGAAAGTATGGGGAACAAGAAAATCATTGAGAGTGTTCCCGGCCCCTCCCTGGTGGCGCAGCAGGTTAAAGCACAACATTGTGAAGCTAATCTGCAGCCACTGCAGCGCAAGTTCGATCCCTGGCCAGGAAGCTGACCCACAGGGTGCAGCAGACCTCTCCTGTCTCACCTGCTGCGCCCTGCAACAGTGTACTTTGTCAATCTGTCTGTTTTGCTCCCCACTCTGTCTCTGGTGAATCCTCTCACCCCCTGCAACTCTGGCTTGTACCCCAGTTCTTAAATAAATAAATCTTTAAAAAAAAAAGTGTCCCCTCCCCTTGATCTATTTTAGTAGGTTATACCTATTTAAAAAATACCTTTTAAAACTTAGATTAGACTGTCTCTAAATTGTATTCTTTTTTCTTTTTATGATATATTTAATAGCATACAAGAACTGGGGTTACAGGCCAGAGAAGTGGGGGTGAGAGGATTCACCAGAGACAGAGTGGGGATCAGAAGAGACAGATCTACTGAAATACACTGCTGAGGGGATCAGTGGGGAGACAGGAGAGGTCTGCTTGCTGCTCCCTGTGGGTCACTCCCTGCCTGGGGATTGAACTTGTGCTGCAGTGGCTTCAGACAGCTTCATAGTGCTGAAATTTAACCCCTTGCACCATCAAGGATGCCCAAGTAAATAACATTCTTTCTTATCAGCCTCAAGCTTGATAAATTTTATTTAAAAGGAAAGGAATTTAATTTAGTGCATTACATAATTGTTTTGTTTATTTGAAACAATATTTCTATAGGGAATACTGTTTTATTTGGAAACACTGATAATCAAAAAATAGAAATATTATAAAACTTCATTGTAAATTACTATTCCACAAGTTGACTTATGCTGTGTAATTCAGTTTATTTCTTTTCTGTGGTCAAAAATACCTTTTGATGTGCCCTTTAATATTATGGTCTTTTATTCCTCTGATATATCTAATGGAGCTTTTCTTTCTTTCTTTTTAAAGATTTTTTATTTATTTATTTATACACACAGAACTGGGGTACAGGCCAGAGGTTCAGGGGGCAGTGAGAGGCCTCACCAGAGACAGAGTGGGGAGCAGAACAGGCAGATTGACGAAGTCCACTGCTGAGGGGAGCAGAGGTGGGTCAGAAGCGGTCTGCTGTGCCTGTGGGTCACTCACTGGCCAGGGATCGAAGAACTCACAGCAAAGTGGGCCGCAGCAGCTTTGCTGCGCTTTAACCTGCTTTGCCACCTGGCAGGGCCCTAGTGGGGCTTTTCATTAGCTTTTGAGAGAAAAGTAGATCATGGATTCATTCCAGTTCCAAAAAAATCAAAGCAAATTAAAATGAAAGAAGCTTTAACATTTTCCTGCTTAGTTCTTGCTGGGTCCCCTGTGAAGTCACCCTGCAAACAGGGGCTCTTTATTTGCCAGCGTGTAATGGCGTCCTCTGAGGAGGCGGCTCGCAGTGGCGGCAGCTCCTTGCTGCATGCACTCAGAGCCTGCGTGTTCAGTGTCTGTGCCAGACTGTTTATGTTTCTTCTTTTCTCTTATAGGAATATATTTGTCCCAGATGTGAATCAGGCTTCATCGAAGAAGTGACAGATGATTCCAGGTATTGTACAAGCTTGTGAATAAGTCAGGCAGTTCACTATCAAAGTTATTTTCTCTTAGCATCGACGGAATGGATAGAAAGGAATTTATTTTCTAATTGTTCTCTGCTGAGAGAGACTGAACAAGAGATGAATGAGAGAATAATACAAAACTGGCAGAGGGGAGGAAGGGAAGAAAAGTGGAAAATTTTGGAAGTGGTGTGGTAGTGGCTGTGATGAAATAGCCGCTCTGATTGTGTGTGGCAGTTCTCGAGAACCTCTGTGTCTTAAGAATCGTACACATTCTCATTTATTTTCTGAGGCTTTTGGAATTCTCTTAGATTTTTGGTTGGTTTTTAGTGACTACTCTGTTCCCTGAAGATTAATTGCTGTTATACTGCCTTGGTGAGCTGGGGTGGCTTCTGCAAAGATACCTAGAAACGTAAAGTCTGTCCTAGTCAAGAGAAACTAAGTTATTACTCTACTTTGAGTGAGCCGTGGGACCCTCATTCTTACAAGATTATTGCTGCCAAACTTAGGCCATCTTGCCACGAATGTTAATACCGGGCTTGTAATACTTGAAATAGGCACTCATTGGTCATAGTCAAGGTATAAAACCTGTAAAACAGGAACTATTTCTAGAAATGACAATATTATATATTACTTTTTGGCTCCTATGAGTAAAACTATAAAAAATTAAAAATAGTTTAGCCTTGATAGGATGTGGCTTTTGGTTAAGTGTAGCAGCACGTTCTTTTGTGGCTGTCTGGTTAAATGTTGGCTGGATAGTTGAAGTACTGACTGTACACGAAAGCTTTTATTTTGGGAGTGATTTTGGTGACAGTATATAATTCCTTCACTGTTGCTGTTGACAGAATCTAAAGTTGAAGGGTGCTTGCACAAGCAGGAAAAACTACACATTTTACAGTATGTGCTGTTAGTCTAACTTTATCAGTGACTGGTGAGTACACGTGTACGTGAGCTGCATCTTCTGGGGCAGCTGCTTGGCATGGGCATCCAGCGTGGTCCCACTGAAATAATCTGTGCTCTGAATAACACAGGACGGGCTCCGGCCCGTAGGTTAGCATGGCGTCCAAATGAGCCGTTTAGTGTGGCTGACCTACTAACTTGGAGTAGCTTTTATTTGTGCTACCGTAATTACATCGAGTACTTATTTCGGGCATGTATGCATGTGTTTAATAAAAGGTATATTGGTTGTTGGGGCCAATAACCTAAATTTTTTCCCCTAAATTTTTAAACAGTAATCCTGGTTTCTTCAGGCCTGTGTACAAAGTGTGATTATAAGTGAGGATGTGATTAACCGTAGGATGTCTTTTCTAGCAGGGAGCTATGATTCTGTGGATCCTGCTCTCACTTGACTTAATAGTTTTTTCACTTGTGCCTTTGCAGTTCAAAGATTGCCCTGTGTGGGTGTTATTGGTAGCAAATACTAAAATACTAAGATTATGTCTTTTGAAGAAATCTTTTCTTAGAATCAGTGTCTTAGAGGCAACACTTCTATAAAGCTCATAAACACTTCCTGATTCGAATTCTCAGCAATTGCCTGGTAAGTAGGGGACGGTAACCATCAGTGAGAGGAGTCCATGCATGCGGGTGCTTGAGAGTGGGCCCCACTTTGCTACTTGGCATGCATCAAGAGGGGCTTTGTAAGTTTTCTTAAACTGTTTAATGTTTCTCAGAATAATGTGGTGATTTTTACTCCTTTCTCTGTGGTTAGCCTTATCGCTCTTAAAATAGAAAGGAATTTTAAGAAAGGACATGCCAAGGGAATCTCAAGGGGAACGACCCCAACATTTAAGAGTCAGTCGCCAAGGGTGCTTGACCCCTAGGACCCCTGCAGGAAGGCAGGAGGGCTGGGAGCCTGGGGGGGCTTGAGCAGGAGGAGGGCACAGCCACGCTGCCTTTCTTTTTTTAAACAGCGTGTTAACATAGATATATTGGTACTTCTGGACTTGTTCTGTATCTGAAGCGCTTTTAACAAGTGTTTTTAACTTCTGAAACAATACAGTGTTCATCATACCTAATCAGAGAGTGAGGCTTGAGAATGATTGCAGAGAGAATGGCATTAGTTTTGCTTTTTCAGTTGTGGCTTCAGACTAATCAGTGTGTTACCTCAACAAGCGCAAGTTTGCGGGCTTGATACCATTTGTGTGAGTGTTCGTGCATGTCTGGATGCTTACAGTCTCTTAGAGTGTTCTAGTTGTTGTGATTCTTTCCTCCACCCCCCGCCCCCCAAGTGTCCCTCTTTTCTTTATAACTTTCATGGGGACAGTGGGATCTAATAATTGTCCTTGGTCTTTGGGAATAGGCATATCTTATGTACACTTGTGATATGAACTGAACAACTTTTATTTTTGATTTGTCCGTATAGGCTGTAGCATTGCAGGGCTTTCAGAGATGATACGTGCGCTGAATGGTGTATGACACATAAGTGCTTGACGTATATTTGTGGTATTAAGAAAATAGTCTTTACCCTTTGGAGTTAAGTTTCGGAAAGCAGGGTATGGAGTGACGAGATGGATGAGACAAATCCGAGGCATTTATAATAGGTAGAATCTGAACTCAATAGGATGTGGTGGGGCATGGGGGAGTCTCATTTGATTAGTGAGCTCAGAAAAACACTTGGTAGAGGACTAGTACGTTGAATACCTGGGGGCCGGGGTCTGTTTTGGTGAAGCCTTAATTGGGGGAGAGTGACAACCTCAAGATGTGCACCTTAAAGCTGGTCATCCGCTTGAGATGAGGTGGGTAGGATAATCAAAGAATAGGCGGATAAATGACCAGAAGAAAAAATGCTCACTGAAGCCCTTACACTGTGCTAAATGTAGTAGCAGGCCCTTTTCAGACTAGTTTAGCCATTCCCCAGGAATATTAACTAACTTAGTTTTAAAGGCCGTGTTCATCTTTTTTTTTTTTTAAGTGAAACATTATCTTGAGGATTTTGTTTGTGAAGCTCTGTAAGAATACCAGTTTGTCTTTTTTTGCTAGGTCAAATTTGAATTGGTTGCGGCCTTGCAGGTCCTCCTTCCCGTAGGTGCCCTCTGCCCAGTGTTTCACTTGGCTCATTCTTGATTTTGTAGCTGGTGTACACCTCTTTCGCAGATCGATCCGCGAGCTTTGGAGGTGCCGTGCTGGGATGAGCTGTTTTCCATATTGGGCTTTGTTCTCATTGTGCCCTGCTATACTTAGCTTTGGGAGGGGAGTCGTTCCTGGGAATAGATCACTACTCACTCCTGTTTCCCTTCAGTTTTTTAGGTGGTGGAGGCAATAGCACAGCAACGCATTTTACAGAGGTAAGTTTTCCCCCGGCTGTAGGGATCTTGAGGGAGTTGACGGATGTGAAGATTATGACCTAGTTTACTTGCCAGTGCAGCAGGACATCAGATGTGTAAGACAGATGTAGGCAAGAGTTGCCCTGAGGAGGAGTTGTGTGTTGAATACCTGGGGCCGGGGCCTGTTTGGTGAAGCCTTCACTGGGAGAGTGATCACCTCAAGTGTGTGCCTTTAAACCGGGTCATGTTTTCAGTGTCTCTGTTGTGTTTATTGTGTCTGAATGAAAAGCTTGTGTTGTTTTTGAGAAGTGGCATGATGGTCAAGGGACGAGCAGACCAGCATGAGTTGCTACAGGAGTTAAAGGGCACAGTCTGCCCTGGACACAGCTTACACAGCTGGCGTTAGAGGTTACTCTAATGAGCAGGGTAGTTTGTTATGATTGGAACCAGGGGCCCGGATTAAGGATAAGAAATTTTCTTGCCTTCTGGATCTCAAGATGGGGCCTATAACTAATGTCCAGTTGCATATATGATGGCGGCATCCATACATTTTGGGGAGAAAATAGAACATCTTCACTATGATTTAAAAATAAGATACTAGTTATGTCCTTGAAAATTGGTATCTATTAAATTTGGATATAATTTTCTTTTTTTCACTTTCTCCATTGACTTAAAAATCTCTAGTTTATTTGAAATAATATTTTGACCAATTTAAGTGTATAATTCAGTGGCATTGACTTTTGTTTTTTAATTATTTTGAGACTATGCCCATCCATAAGGGACAGATTATCTCAGCCCACGAAAAACACTGGTTTACATGTGCTTCTATTTTATACAACTTGCTTGGCTTTAGAAAGCCAGCAGTGCTGAAAGAGGGAAAAAGTTAAATCCCATGGTCAGTTTCATTGGGTTTCAGGATTATATTAGTGCAGGTAACTAGGGAACTACCAGTTTTGGGTTTTTTTGCATTCATTTGTGTGTAAATTATTTGAAGAGTGGTGTTCAGAAAGAAGCGCACAAAACTCTAGGCCTCTTTTATCCTTCAAAAGTGATTTTAATTACTGTAACCCCCCTTGATATTGTGTTCTTAGTTTGTAGCCAAGAAAACTTGATGAAATGCTTGGGTAATAAATCTGTTCGATTTATATAAGGTCTGGTACTTCTTAATATCCAGTATTATGTTTTTGGGTAAATTCTGAACTTCCTTGGCTCATGGGTTGATTAAAGCGAGATTCAAAATAGAGTGTGTCTTTGAACTCCCATTTTTATTTTCTCATTTTGATGGATTGAAAAACATTATTTAAAGTTTATTCTGCTTTTCAGGCCTGGAAGCACTTCTGACTTTAGTATGTTTTTTCTCCTGTGTGTGCTATTCCTGATAACACAGCTTGGCACTTACTGATTAGCATATGCAGAAGAAACATCATCTGATTTCTTAAGTGTTCTCTCTTAGGAAATAGAAATAACATCGGCCTGTCAGTTTTATAGCTATGACTCAACAGAAGGAGATGCATTAAGAAGAAAAATAAATGCATGCAGTCAGTTTCCTAACTTAGACAGTGTCAACCGACGGCCGCTGCTTGCTTGGGCTCTCCTTCAGATGTTAAGGTAGTTTTGCTGAGTCATAGCCTGTGACTCCATGTTCATTAGGCTGCAGCGAGGGCACGAGTGTGCCCAGCTTTCCTTCTTTGTCATTCCCTTTCTTTATGTGTCACTATTTTAATGTTTTTTTTTTTTAAATGAACTTTACATTTAAAAAAAATAGAAAAAAAGATCCGACTATAGCATTGCCAGGGATATTTTAGGAATCACTAAGTTTATTTTGAATGACAAATTGAGTGCTTTTATGCACAGCACTCTGACAAAAAGTAGGGGCAAGAAACTTGTGTGCAAGAAACTTACATTTAGTTGGTGAGCAAGTGGAAACACACGAAACAAGAAATCCAGGAAGAGTGTGCAGAGAACAGAATGAACTGTGGAGTATAACCAGTACAGTGGAGGGCGAGCTCGAGTGGCCTTCTTAGGGGAACCAGCCTTTAGGAAGAGCGGTCTCGTGGCAGAGGGAGGGTTGTGCACCGAGCCGGGTTGCCAAGTTCAGGCCCTGGGCCCACCACTGCCAGTGCGATCCAGGCAGAATTCCTCAGAACCTCTGGGTGTCTCTTTCATCATCTGAAAATTGGGGCATTAATAATACCTCACAGGGTTTACTGTGAGGGTTACATTATGTTAGTGTATGTGTAGGTCAGTGAATATCGTATAGTGAAGTGCTTAATAAATTGTAGTGATTATTAAGACTTCATGGAAAATAAAGCAAGGCTTCAAGTGCTCAAGTCTTGAAGGGTAGGTGGAGTGTAGACAGGCAAAGAAGTGAAAAAAAGCTCCCAAGATAGCGTTCTCAAGATAGGATGTAAAGTTTTGCATCCACATCCTTGGAGGAAAAGTTAGAAAATAAAATTATGTTGTAGGCTTTTCTTTTTCACATTTTAGTTGATAGCGTCAGTAAAGGCAGGCTCAGTTTTGCTGTTTTTCTTCAGCCAGAGCTGCTTGTGCCATGAAGAGGTCACAGCAGCTTCCTCCCCCCCACCCACAGTTGCACTTACCTGTCTCTCCCATGGGGGAGAGTGAGGAGGAGCCCACGTCCCCATGTCCCCATCACTTAGAGTCCAGTGCAGTCTTCTAGAGTTGTGTCCTTAGGTCCTGCTGTTGTCTCCGCTGCGTCTGATCTCTAAGGGGCGTTTTGTCTAGGGGTGTGTCTGCATAGGAGACAGCAGTCTGTGGTCCATGTGCTGCCCGTCGCTTCAGGCACACTCACTGGGGTCTCGAAACACATCCCCCTCGGGTGAGGAGGGGACTGCGGTGTTTTCTATAATTAGCATCTACTAACAGCCCAATTCTTGAAATCCAGGTATATTAGCTATATTAAAAGAGGCTTGGTCTAAGCAAAGGCTCTAACAAAACCAGTTACTGATTTTTCTTGTTTTACAAGGGTCTGGGGTGTGGAAATAGAGTAGGGAGGATGGAGTGAGGTGGGAGGGGAGTGCTGGGTAGCTGGGAGCTTCTGTGAGGTCCTGCAAGGGTCCCCCCAGTGGGAATCCACAGCTTGTGGGGGCCTAGATTCTAGTGCCTGCTGGCCCTGGGGAGTTGAGTCTGCCATGCCTGAGGGGTGACTTACTACTTGAAAGCTTCAGACCAGGACCCTGGTGTGGAGAGACATCTGGTCTGAGTCTCAGCTCACCTGGGGGGGTCACTGGAAGAGGGGCTGTGCTGGGCCTCAGAGGAGCAGGAGATAGGCGGCTTTCTGAAACAAGAACCCCAAGGAGTGCAGAGGAAAAGTTGCTCTCAGACATTGAGTTGTATCTACTTAAATAAAATTTGGTCCAGATGCCACATTGTAATGGTAATAAAAAGATATTAAATAACTCGAGCCCCACTATTCTAAGATGGCGCCTTTCTATAGTTTCTTTCAGGTTTTGTCCTGAGTGTAGATACTAACAGATAACTGTAACAGCTTTATGAAGATTTTAAAAATGAAAAATCTTCCTTATTTTCATTGCCTTTATTTAAACGTTTTTGGGCATAACTTTTCATGTCTCATCCATCTTCAGATGCTACCTAAAGTATAGTACATCATATTTCTGCTTAAAATTTACTTAGCATCGTGTCAAACCTTTTTCTTGTTCATGGTTATAAGAACTTTAATGTGATGTTTTTACCTTAATGTAATTTTTGGAAATGTACATGTTGAACAAAAATTGGTTCTATAATGTTAGTGAACTTGTGAAGTAATTGTGTTCACACGCTTTTTAAAAATGAAATTCTGAAAGTAACTTTAAATTCTCAAAACCTGCCAGATGCATTACAGGGAAACACTGGGCAGTATCCCCTCATGAACACACATGTGAAAATTCTACAGGACTGTGCAGACAGGCCCAACAGCGTGCCCCTCGGAAGGGCCACCGTCACGGTCAAGCGGGCCATAGGCTGGGACTGCGAGGTCACTTCAGCAGTTGCAAGTCAACTGATGTGATGCAGTATATTAGCAGTGCACTGAAAAATACAAACCTTGATCATCTCAAGAGATACGAAAAAAAGTATATAACAAAATCTAACTTTCATTTTTGATTCGTGGAAAACTAAATCCTGTGCATGGATCAGCAGCAGGCTTGGCATTGTTAGATGGGATCTAAATATTTAGTAATAATTCCAGTCAGAATCCTAGTAAATCTTTTTATAGAAATTGTCAAGCAGATTCTAAATTCACTTGAGGTGGAGAACTAACACCATCTGATTTCAAGACTTACTGTAAAGCCATAGTAATCAAAACTGTGATATTGCTAACAAGATAAAGAGCTCAGAAGAACAGAGAGTCTGGAAACAGATTCACACATTGGACCACTGATTTTTACAAAGATATAAGGGCTGTCAAGCCCTACACACCTATTCTGGTTAGTAGTCATTGTTTCTCCCAATTTCCTCAGTCTGATTGCAGCCACTAATCTCTTTTCTATGTAGATGGATTTATCTGTTTAGAATATTTGATGCAAATGGATTGTGTAATACGGGAGTTTTGTGCCTAAGACTTTCACTTACTGTAGTGCTTTCAGGGTTCACTCCTGTAGCATGTGTCAGTCTTTCAGGCCTCTTTACAACATTGTGACATTCTGTTGTGCGGGTTCGCCAGGTGCTGCTCACCCACCTATCCAGTGTTTGGGCATTGGGCTTGTTTTGACTCTTGGGCCTAATGGCATGCTGTGAATGTCTCTTGTTAGCTGCTGTGAGTGTTGAGTACAAATTTTTGTGTGGACATGTTTTCACTTCTCTTAGGTGTAGAACTAGTAGTAAAATTGCAGGATCATGCAGTAACTTTTAAAATAATAGATTGTAATATTTTAAGGGGTGCTGATGTGAGTGTGGTTAGTTTGTAATTAAGTTTTGCTAAATGAAAGATACTATTTTTATTGTCTTTTATATTGAACTATATAATTATGTCAGCTCACATTTTCACAAGTTATACTTTTTAC